ATACTGGAAGTTAAGTTTGATTAGAAGTTATATTTTATCTAATATATTTATAATGTTATTTGTAGACAGCTACGAAAATTAAAATATGAAGAATTATGCTTGTTCTATTGTAATCAATGGTCATCATGTTGACATTGCCTTAAAAATTTATAGGTAACAAAATAGATAATCATGTGTTTATTAACTATTATTATATATATTATTTATTTTTTCAGTAATCGCATATTGTTAATTGTAACACATTTTAAGAAGTTTGGGTCATTGGTATCGGTAACTAGAGGACCTTTAATACATCAGTTAACTAATAGTGTATTTTCTACAAAGTAAGTAGCTAATGTATATTGTATTACATATATATGTTTTACAACTATTTGGTGCAATGATAAAGGAAAATGTACATTGCAGAGTTTTATTTGGAAAGGATGATATCGAGGTTGTGGCAGCTGCTAGGTTCATAGCAGAACAAATTAATGCAGATAAACCATTATTATTATCGATATCTTTGAAAAGTTATGATCCAGATACAATTAAAGCTATTGCTTCAACTGTAAATGAAATGAAAGTGTGGTAATGTGTTGTAAATTAATTACATCATTATGAGTCTCATTTTTGGTCAATTAGTCATTGGTCCACCTGGGAGTGGGAAAACTACATATTGTCATGCTATGTCAAACTTTTTGGAGAAGCTAGGTAGAAAAGTTGCTGTAATTAATATCGGTAAAAATAAATATTTATATATTGTTTATATATATAATAAAAAAGGATTTTATTACTGTTACCATTGTTTACAGATCCAGCAAATGAAAACATGCAATACAAACCAGTAGTAGATATATCTGAATTAATAAAACATGAAGATGTAATGTCACACTATGGTCTTGGACCAAATGGAGCTTTAGTTTACTGTATGGAATTTTTAGAAACAAATATAAAATGGCTAATAACAAAAGTTTTAGATTTAAAGGAATACTACATCATTATTGATTGTCCAGGACAAGTACATACTAATAACTATATATAACTCTCTCTCTCTCTCTCTCTTTCTCTCTCTCTCTCTGCGCGCACGTGTGTGTGTATACATATACAGAGTGTCTTAGATTTAAAATACCATGATTTATGAGTCTAAATAAGAAGAAAATCTTACATAAACATAGATTATTTATCGTCTCATGATAAAGTTATAAACACAAATATGAAATTCCAAGAGAATAGAATCAGCAGAATTTAAATTTTACGCGAGTTCATTTATGTAAATTGTGTAATAAAATTTAACAAAAATTAATATTAATTTAATAATTAAGAATAGTTATTCTCAACTGACAGAAAACTACAGGTAAATATCGTTTAACTCTTTCCTTCAAATTCTGTATTTTTATTTATAACTGTTTCATAAAACATTAAATATCCTATGTTTATGTAACATTTTTTTCTTATTTCAATTCGGAATATACTGACAAAGTATGGTACTTTACACTTGGGACATCCTGTAAGTCTAGATAGTGGCTTCTGAATACTTATAACTATGTGAAAAACGATATAATTTTTGTAAAACCGGACTAAATAACTTGAAATTTTTTTAGATGAGAGAAGGTCTAGCCTATTATGCAACGACTAAAATATTATTCTCTAAATTGTCTTTTATTTGAATCTCTAACGAAAATTTAAAAAATGCGTTTTGTACACCTCAGTAACTTACATGCATGCTGAAAATCTCATCGAAATCGGTTGACACAGAGTCAAGCTGCAAGCATTGAAAGATTAAAAAAACTGCAGGTTTCTGACATTTATTGGTCGAAAGTGTCAAAAATCGTGACGAAACTGCGATCTAATTGTTTATAGCTCGCATCAAGGTAATCTGATTTCGATGAAGTTTTCACCATGTACGTAAGTTACCGAGATCTACAAAAAACATTTTTTAAATTTTCGTTACAGGCTCAGATAAAAAGTACAGTTTAAAAAAAGTTACACCATTTTCCAAGTGGTCTTGAGTATGTGACCGCCACTGTATATGTATACCTATAGTACTCTTACTATATAAATCTAATTTCCATTAAAATATATTTATATTTTTCACAGGTTGAATTATATACACATCACAACTCAATCAGTACAATTGCTGATAAATTGGAACAAAATTTAGTCAGGCTATGCAGTGTACATTTAATAGATTCTCACCATTGTAGCGATGCTGGTAATTCTTTAAAATATTTATCATACTTTTATTAATATTATATTCACAAAAATAATATGTGCTAATAATATTTTTATTTATAGATAAATATTTATCTTCTTTAATTCTTTGTACCACAACCATGTTAAAACTAGGTTTACCTCACGTCAATATTATGACAAAATTTGATGAGATGAAAAAATTTAGTGATTGCTTAGATTTTAATGTAGATTTTTATACTGAAGTTCTGAATTTAAAATACTTATTGGATAAACTGGATGAAAACCCTTTTACATCAAAGTAATTTTCTTTTTATTATACCGTTTTATACTACTTTTCAGAATTACTATTTTTGATAAATAAGAAGTATTACATTTTTCCAGATTCAAGAAATTAAATGCTGCTTTCGTATCACTGATAGAAGATTACAGTCTTGTTAGTTTTATACCATTGGATATTTCTAATCAAGCATTGTTACTGCAAGTAAAAAATTCAATTGATAAAGCTAATGGTTATATCTTTGGTGGAAATGAACCTCAAGATGTTCAAACTTTACTTGCATGTGCTATTGGAGCAGAAAACGAAAATGAAAGAATGTCAATGATAGATTCATATTTTGAATAAAGATTGAATAAATAATGTAAAAAAGAATCAAAGAGATAATTGTATATATTCTTATTTTAACATGTGTGGTCACGCGGAAATGATTCGAAAAGGAAAACACAAATTCCGAGAAAAATGAGTTTAAGATTAAGTATAGTAAAATATTTATTGATCTAATTTTAAATTCATTTTTTTCAATATCTGTTTTTTCCTAACGATCCCTTTTCAAATGACCACTCACATATTCAGAATTTTTCATTGAAAATTTGTCAGAATCTCAAATTAAGGAAAGGATTAAACAAAACTTTTAACTTCAGTGACTTTAGCTTCAATGCATGGCACATTTATAAACACTAAAATTAACAGCTTTATAACAGCACTACATATAATTACCAGCTTTGAGGCTTCCGACTCATCAATTTAAGCTTCATGTAAATTACAAAGTAGTATCAGACATGTGATCTCTGTTAGGTATTAAAATACTTAAAATTTTTCAAAAATATATCAAAGATAAGTATACTTAGGTATAAGTGTACGAAATGATACAATTAATCATATTATTTGAATAATTTATTGAAATTTTGATCAGTTGTTTTGACTCACAAATATTTGTGCCAAATCATCATAGTCATATGTCCTTTTCAAAAATATATCCTCCAACTTTAATCCTGAGATAGTCTGAAATATTACAAAGTTTACCTAACATATTGAAATATTGAATTATATATATCTTGCATTGCTAAGAACATTATGTTTACTATATAATAACTATAATACTCACTATAATACCACTATGTAATGCAATTAGACATAAAGGAATATCAATTGACACACCAGGCTTTAGTGTTCCAATTTTTGTAGTAGATATACCACACCATGCAATAGAGTTACTAGATTCCAAACAAAGCATCAAATCCATACTTCTTTCGCTAAAAATATATGTATAATTATATAATTTTTAAAATTTGTACACATTATAAAAACACTTGTTAAAATACATTTGAAATTCTTACGATGTATTCATTATACGACAATTGAATGTAAGTGATTGTTCAAGGTAAACCTTTAAAGAAATGTCTTTAATAGTAACTCGCAGATCACCATATTCAGGTGCCTAAAAAATTAAGGTATTAATAGAACTACATAAAACTTAAATGTTTGCAAAAGAAATAGTAAATAATATGACAAACCATCCTTTGTAACTGACTTGTTTGTAGCCTTCCTCTTTCTCCTAAATTACTTCTCCAAACAATATCTAATTTTCCAATATTTGTTGCATTGTGCATCATTTTGGGATCTTTTAACAAAGTTAATTGTGGTTTTAAACAATACAAGTACTGCCTACTGCAATCAGTATCTAATACATTAACTGATCCATAGATAGATTCTCCCTTCCCATTTGTATTTAGAGTTGACACTGAAAATATAAAATGTATGTAATTTCACCTACTAATAGTACACTGAAAACTTACCACTAAATAAGTGAGATGATTCAAGAGAAACTTTTTCTAAACATATTGGACCTGCTGTGAGATTCTGTATTTGTGCTTCAAGATATACTTCATCTGACTTTAAGGAAATAATGCTTTTTGTTAATTTTTTATATGAAACAATTAAATAAGTAAATATTATAATTAACAAAAATTATTGTCATACAAAATTTATAATCATAAGAATGTTACCTCTGCGTTATAAAACTTTGTTTTTACATCTAATGGTTTCACTACTTGAAGTTTATAAAATTTTTTAAATGACTGTGGAGTAGCACCTAAATTCATAGGTGTGTAAGTTACTTCACATACTAGTCTGAAATATATTTCTATTGGTTATTTAGATTTAAGTATTTACAATAATTTGTTGACTCTACATCCTTACATATGTGTTCCTATTTCTTTCACTTCATGGTGTATTACTTCATCGACTGTACCACCAGGTGGTAAATCTTTCATTTCCCCACTATTACCAGAAAGAGGAATAATTTGAGTACTTGTTTGTAAATCTACCTAAAACATAAAACATTGTTGAAAGTAAACCATTAGTTTGGAACATGTACAACTGCTATTGTAATATACTTTTAATGTATAGTACCTTTCAATAATATACAAATTAAAATATCAAAATCAATATTGTGTTTAAAACACAATACTTACTTTAACAGTAACATCTTCTACTAATTGGCTACTACCATTATGTACACACAGATAGCTTGAAAACATTTCACCTAAATAAATATTCCTAGAAAAATATATATATAGTTTTAATTAAAATATTACATATAAAAATTGATAACGAAATATAAGTACATAATATAACTATAACTTTGTTATATTGTGTATACATTCAATTATTTACTAATATAAATTAGATAAAACAATTCGTAATATAATTATTGTACGAGGATGTATATACCCAAAACTTTGTGGTAACACCATAAATTGTCCTACAGTAAGAGTTTCCATTCCTTGCAAAGCAGTACAATCATTTTTAAGTTCATTATTTAATGTATTACCAGGAAGATCCGTTGAATCGCAAGTTACAACAATTGGACTTGCAAGAGTAGGTCGGGTTAACCTCATTACTGAAAATTAATATTTTCAGTACATAAATGCAAATAGTATTTAAATTCTAAATTAATTTAAATGTTTAATTTATAAAAAGAGTATAATATACATATCTACATTTCTGTAAAAACTATACCATTATGGAATTGCACTTATTACCTTTCAATGCTAGTAAGTGTTCATTTTTTGGTTTAGTTTCCATTTCAGTAAAAATTATTAGTAGTAAGTATTTTGAAAAAAAATTTCTTCTTAAAGTTCAGCAACAGTATCTGTCAAACGTTACCTATAAAACCTAATCTATAATTCGATTCGATTTCAAGCTCATAACACATATACTGTTTTAAAAACATTGGAAGTAGTTGTCGTACAAATACAAATATGTAAATGAAATAAATATTTAAACAAAATTTCATATGTACGGAAATGTAAAATTTACACACTGATTTACGCTATAAATACACTGTACACTACAAGTAGGGCTCGTGAGCCTCTTGTCTATTTTCAAAAGAAGGACGATTTCTATGTACAATACATAGAAATAAATGAGAGCAATGCAACGCAACATTTCTTTCTTCCTTCCTTTATGTTAAACGTGGTTAGACAAGAGAGAACAAGTTCTCAAATTCTTACATCTTGCAAATCCTGACTACAGGCGATATCTAAAGGCTCATTTCCATTGTATTGGCTTTTGCCACGCTGTTTTGCCGATCGACTGGTATAGACAAAGACAAACAAGTTTGAAGTGTTCAGTATTTCTTCAGTATTATTTGAGAAGGGTACAGTTTCACTTGAGAAGCCAAACGCTATGTCGATTCGTTTTCGATTCGTACATAGATCTGAGAATATATGGATGGAACATACAGAATATCCAAAAAATGTCTCGCAATCCGGAAATATGGGCTTCTTGAGGTCATTTGGAGTAACTTTTTCCTTAGCGAAAATGCAATCCGCGACTTTGTTTACGAGTTATTAGCGAAAAACACTGACCAATAAGAGGCGAGCTCGGCTAACGCGAGGCCGAACCAATGAGCGAAACTGGGCTTCATGTATTCGTTGGCTAGGCTGCCTCGCGTCAGGTTTTTGTGACACCTTGTATATCATACTCTGACTTTGGAAAGGGGAGAATAAGATCCGCTATAAGAGAGGGCTACATGTTCTTCGACTGTATTCGATTTGACTCGGAATCACTTGGAACCATGCACCTAATTCGGCTTGACTCGGAATCATTCGGAACGCACGAAAATAGTTAAAGCGCATATGGCTCCGACCATATGTACATATGCATCTGGGACCTATGCCTGCAAGCTTGTATTATTATTTTCGAAGCCTGTGTGTACATCCTCACCATTTTACTGCGCATCCAATCCGTAGTGGATCCTGTCTCAGCAGTGAATCGTTAGCCAATTATGTAAAGCANACAATCATTTTTAAGTTCATTATTTAATGTATTACCAGGAAGATCCGTTGAATCGCAAGTTACAACAATTGGACTTGCAAGAGTAGGTCGGGTTAACCTCATTACTGAAAATTAATATTTTCAGTACATAAATGCAAATAGTATTTAAATTCTAAATTAATTTAAATGTTTAATTTATAAAAAGAGTATAATATACATATCTACATTTCTGTAAAAACTATACCATTATGGAATTGCACTTATTACCTTTCAATGCTAGTAAGTGTTCATTTTTTGGTTTAGTTTCCATTTCAGTAAAAATTATTAGTAGTAAGTATTTTGAAAAAAAATTTCTTCTTAAAGTTCAGCAACAGTATCTGTCAAACGTTACCTATAAAACCTAATCTATAATTCGATTCGATTTCAAGCTCATAACACATATACTGTTTTAAAAACATTGGAAGTAGTTGTCGTACAAATACAAATATGTAAATGAAATAAATATTTAAACAAAATTTCATATGTACGGAAATGTAAAATTTACACACTGATTTACGCTATAAATACACTGTACACTACAAGTAGGGCTCGTGAGCCTCTTGTCTATTTTCAAAAGAAGGACGATTTCTATGTACAATACATAGAAATAAATGAGAGCAATGCAACGCAACATTTCTTTCTTCCTTCCTTTATGTTAAACGTGGTTAGACAAGAGAGAACAAGTTCTCAAATTCTTACATCTTGCAAATCCTGACTACAGGCGATATCTAAAGGCTCATTTCCATTGTATTGGCTTTTGCCACGCTGTTTTGCCGATCGACTGGTATAGACAAAGACAAACAAGTTTGAAGTGTTCAGTATTTCTTCAGTATTATTTGAGAAGGGTACAGTTTCACTTGAGAAGCCAAACGCTATGTCGATTCGTTTTCGATTCGTACATAGATCTGAGAATATATGGATGGAACATACAGAATATCCAAAAAATGTCTCGCAATCCGGAAATATGGGCTTCTTGAGGTCATTTGGAGTAACTTTTTCCTTAGCGAAAATGCAATCCGCGACTTTGTTTACGAGTTATTAGCGAAAAACACTGACCAATAAGAGGCGAGCTCGGCTAACGCGAGGCCGAACCAATGAGCGAAACTGGGCTTCATGTATTCGTTGGCTAGGCTGCCTCGCGTCAGGTTTTTGTGACACCTTGTATATCATACTCTGACTTTGGAAAGGGGAGAATAAGATCCGCTATAAGAGAGGGCTACATGTTCTTCGACTGTATTCGATTTGACTCGGAATCACTTGGAACCATGCACCTAATTCGGCTTGACTCGGAATCATTCGGAACGCACGAAAATAGTTAAAGCGCATATGGCTCCGACCATATGTACATATGCATCTGGGACCTATGCCTGCAAGCTTGTATTATTATTTTCGAAGCCTGTGTGTACATCCTCACCATTTTACTGCGCATCCAATCCGTAGTGGATCCTGTCTCAGCAGTGAATCGTTAGCCAATTATGTAAAGCAAACAAATTTCTATATCGAGCCGCCCTAACAGCCTGGAGATGTACAGGAGTAGGTCCTATTACTGTATATTTTTAGGTCCATGAGACACACAAACTTAAAATGTACCCCGCGGCCAAAAGTCTTAATTTGTTTTTCCGTTTTTTACGTCCATGTATAAGGAGGTTAATTTTTTTGGAATTGTCGAATTACATTTATGAAGCAATAGGAAGGCTGCGTAATGGCTATAGATGGCTCTTGCGTATTCACTTCGCGTGTTTGTCTATCTCGTTCGTAGTAAATCTATGCTCGAGGCAGCCAATCAGATGACAGGAAGTTCAAATTCAAACGAAAGCTGGTCAGGATGTCTCCTCAAACGACAGTTACAATTTCGACTAGAAAATTATAGAAAGTTTTGAGTATTATTAATGACCACGTAACGTGAATGATAAGAATAAATAAATATTAAGGTATATGTTGTCGTACAATTCGATTTTAGTTCATTATTTGTAAATATGTCGGATAGCATAAAAGTTGCGATTAAAGTAAGACCTTTGATCAAACGTGAGAAAGATGACAATTTGCCGATACAATGGGTAGTTCACGGAAACTCTATTGTGTCGACCGACACAGAGCTAAAGAAGCGTGGTGATGGCGGATTCTGTTTCGGTATTTATCAATTATTTTTAAACTAGTCATAATATATATAGTGAATGTTACTTGAATGGACCTTTCACTTCATGCTCTTTGTTGGCGTGTTGACAGATCATATTTTTGATGTAAATGCATCGAATTCAGATGTATTCGACAGTGTAGTAAAGCCTATTGTCGATGCTGCCGTAAATGGTTTCAATGGAACTGTGTTTGCTTATGGGCAAACAAGTTCTGGGAAAACATACACTATGATGGGTACGTTAAATGAACCTGGAATTATACCATTAGCCATTGAACACATGTTTGATGCTATAACTAACTCAGCTGGCCGTGAATTCTTATTGAGGTTTGTGTGTAACATAATTAATAAGAATAATACTATTATATCGATAATGTTATATTTGCTAACATATATTAGTTCGAATCATAAGTAATTTCTGTGCTTTAGTATAATTGTAACAATGTATTTATTGTCCTAATTAGGTTTTGCATTTATTATATAAGCAAGTATCTGAATGCAATTTATCATTTTCCTATTATCATCTTCCAGAGTATCATATTTAGAAATATACAAAGAAAAAGTCAATGATTTATTAAATAGAACCGGCACTGACTTGAAGTTGAAGGAAGACAGTAGTGGCCAAGTAATCTTGCAGTGCAAAGAAGAAATCACCAACTGTCCAGAGAATATGTTATCTATAATGAAAAAGGGTGACAAGAATAGGAGAACAGGAGAGACCAATATGAATGAGCGTAGCAGTAGAAGTCACACTATATTTAGAATCGTAAGTATTCATAGAATTCTTTGTGTCACATATGGTATTCCACAGAGTTTATATATATTTTTCTTTAGACTATTGAAAGTAGAGAGGTTGGAGGAGATTCAGATAGTGCGATTCAAGTGTCGCAGTTGAATTTGGTGGATCTTGCTGGATCCGAGAGAGCACGGCAGACAGGAGCGACTGGTGAGAGGTTTAAGGAAGGGTTGCACATCAATTTGTCTTTGTCAACATTGGGACTAGTGATCATGCAGTTGAGCGAATGTCAGGATGGTCAGAAATATATAAACTTTCGTGACAGTAAATTAACCAGATTATTGCAGAATTCTTTAGGTGGCAATGCTATGACAGCGATAATCTGTGCTGTGACTCCTGCCGCCGTGGACGAAACTCAATGCACTTTGTCGTTCGCGTGTCGTGCAAAAAGCGTGAGAAACAAGCCACACATCAACGAGGTGATGTCTGACGCAGCACTCCTGAAACGTTACGCGAAACAGATCTCGAAACTTCAAATGGAATTGGAGAAAATTAAAACGGAGAACCGGGCCGCGGAAGTCGAGAAAATGGAGTCGAAATTACAAGAGAAGGAACGTGTTAATCAGATGTTGGAAGAGCGTATAGGACTGCTTAAGACCCGAATCGTCTCCGGAGATATCACCGGTGACGGCTCGTTCAAGTGCAAGTCAAAAAGAAGACAGACCTGGGGTGGTCCAGGAATGTTCAAACATGTGGAAACTTTTCAGCCGAAGTCAGGCTTACCGACGATAAAAGAGGTATCTCGCGAAAAGTCTTGTAGGAAAAGCATTATTCAATCCGATGACATCGATCTGATGAACCAGACTTTTCAAACGGCTTTCACCGACTTCGAGCTGGAATTATTCAAGAGCGAAATCGATCGAGAAGACGAGGAGAATGGTAGTGACAGCGATGACGAACCGTTTATCACAAAACGCGTTACTTTCAGAGACGATGTCTACACCATTAAATCGAAGGATAGCATTATACCAGAGAAAATCAGTATATCGCCGGAGAAATGCAATAGTGCAACCCAAACTGTTAGCTGCCAGGCGTCTCCTTCGACACCGAAGCAGGTTTTGCGGTGCCGCATTAATTATTTGACCAATGAGTTTACAGAGCTCCGCGAATTCACAACTCTGGAGAAGCAGCTGTTAGGAGCTGGTGATGGGCCCAAAAAATATACTCCAGAGGTGAAGAAGCTGCTAGGAAGTTTGAATCTCACGGAAGAGACAAACGTAAACCGCGTAATCGCTGAATTATGTAAGAAACTTGACAAACTTGAGCAAGAAAGTATTCTGGAGAAAGAGGCGAGTCGGAAAACAATGAAACGGTTTTCGGAGATGGAGATGCAAATGAAAAACATCATTTCTGAAAGAGACGAATTTCAGTATATGAGCGGTGAGTTGCGCGTGGAACTGAGAAAGAGAACTGCAGAATTGGAACTGAAGAATATGTCCGAGGAAAGCGGGAAGGAGGAGGAACTGAAGAAAATTTTGGAACTGGAGAGAAAGCTCAAAGATGTTACTCTGCAGAACACTGAGTTACGCGCTGAATCGACGAAAATGATTAAGAAGTTAGAAGAACAGGAAACGATTGATAAACTTTCTATGTTGAAGGAGAAAGTTGAAAGTATAACATCGGAGAGAAATGAACTGAAAGAGAAGATGCAAATGGAGCAGGCGGAATATCAGAAGATGATGGAAAAGGTGAACGATTTGACATATCAAGTTGAAGATGCAACAAATCAAAATGGTGAATTCGAACGCATCAATGCCGAATTAAGACAAAATATTTCCGATTTGGAAACCAAAGCGGTGGAACAGATGAAAGCAATATCGGAATTGGAAAGTAAAGTCGGAAACTTAGCGTCCGAGAAAGGGGAACTACATCGTATTATTGCTGAGAAAGACGAAGAGAGTTCGAAGCTGGAATCGATTGCGAAGGAAAGGAACCGTGCGATAGAAATTATAAATCTAGAGAAGAAGGAGCTTGAACACGTCAATTCGCAATTGCTTGATAAGCTGAATAAATTAACTATGTCAAAGTTGGAGTTGAAAGACAATGATAATATCATCCACGATAATGGCAATTTGACTATGAATGAGACGATAAGGGACAACACGGATAATCAATCTTTTCTATCCTATTCGAAACAGTTCAACGACAGTACCTTCGACACATCGGCGTTGATGTTGAGCATGGAGGTGGAGAAAAGTCAGCTGGAACAGACTTTACACTTGAAAAATCGAGAATTGGATGAGATTAAATGCGACGTTCACAGTTTGAAACAGGATATAGAGTCTCTGCAGAAGACTATCTATCTGCTGACAACCGAGAACATGGAGATGGCTAATAAATTGACCGCTGAGCACGAGAACGCGAAACAGGCGGAGATGAATCTTCAGGGGACGATCGACGAGTTGTACATTCGCATTTCCGAAGTGACGAACGAGAAGATCATTTTGGAGAGCAATCTGGCATCTCTGAACGGTCAACTGGAGTTGATGCGTACTAGAGACGCGTCGCCGAAAATCGTTAGCAACGAGGATGACATGTTCGCGTCGTACATGACTAAAATCGACAAGCTGACGGCCGAGAACATCGAGCTATCTGCTACGATCGCCGAAAGGAATAGAGAGGTGGAGAGTATCAAGGAAAGCAAGTCACTTCTGTTCGATCACGAGTGCATGCACAAGGAGAAGGCAGCTGCTCTCGCGGAAAGGAATGAATGTTTGCAGGCGGAGAACGGCGAGCTCTCTACAGACTTGATGGATAAAATTGAAGAAATCGACGAGCTGAAGGAAAAGTGCGAGATACTGGAGAAGAAGATGGAGCAATCCTTGAAATCTGTCGAGTCTGATGACACCACGAAAGATCTACAATCGGAGAACAGTCTGTTGAAAGCGGAAATTATAGAACTAAAGATGAAGATGACAACACTGTCCGAAGAGAACACAAAGTTCTCGAACAACCTACTGCAGACCATCGAGGAGCTCGACAGTTCTCGCAACGAGAAGATGCTCGGCGACAGTGCGGAAAGTACCTGCAAGGAACATATTCAGGGAGATGATCACGAGACTCTGACAAGCGCCAACGAGGTTGTAATGTTGCAGGAGAAGGTCAGCAGATTGACTTGTTTGAACAAAAAACTGAGCGACTTGAAGTTAACATCTTGCAATCAATGCACCTATCTGAAGAACTTGAGCGAGAGTCGAAGAGCTCTGAAACTGGAGGCCAAATCGCAGAACCAAAAGTTCGAAGATCTCCAGAGGAAGTTCGCCCGGAAGTGCGAGGACGTCGAGATTCTGAAGAACAAGATCAATCAGAAACTGAACGCAAGCGACCGCGAACTGTCCCCAAACGTCAGTTACGTCGACGATATGGACGTGAGCCTTGTCGAAGAGAGGATCCACACCTTGAACGACGAGCTTCAGACGTTGAAGACAGACCATGGTAAGTTGACTGGCCTATACGAGGACAAGTGCAACGAGCTTCAACAATTGCACAGTGAACTGAGTATTGACGAAGAGTTGACCTCCAACTTTATACCGAAGAAACGTTCTGAGAAGAACAGCTGCAGAGTGGCTCAGATTCAGACTCACATCGACCAACTGATGGCTGACATAAATGACATGAGGAAGAACAGTATGCACTTTGCTGCTACACTGAACCAGGTCAGAGGTGAGAAGGCGAGCTTGTTGAACAAGATCGATGGCTTGAGAACCAGCAACGAGGAGCTGAAACAGAAGCTGTTCATGTACGAGAACATCGCAACAGGGAACGTACAGGTTCTGGAGAGCGAGCTGACCAACATGAGCAAGGAAGTCGAGCAGTTCTTCGCTCGGGAGAGGATGCTTGAGAGTCAGAGATTGACTTTGGAGATGGAGCTCGAGGAGTTGAAGGTTGACCGGGACAATAAGTGCGCGTTGATCGAAACCTTGAAGAACGACTTGCTGACTGCAAACATCAATGACAACAAGTACAAGGAAGAGCTGAAGTTATTGAAAAAGCAGCGCGAAGAGTTGGAGCAGCGACAAAACAATCTGTGTGAAGAGCTTCAAGAGAAAGGCGTTCACGTGGAACAGCTCTACCGTCAGAGCGAGCAAGAGAAGCTGGCCTTGATGGAGACGCTGCGAACGGTTGAGGGCGAGCTGCACAACCTAACGAACAACTTAGAAACGAGATACAAGAGCGAGTTCGACTCGATGTCCATGCAGTACCAGCACCGAATCGAAGAATTCGAGAACAATCTTCGATTGTTGAATGGTACGTTGAACAAATACGTCGATGAAAATCTAAACTTGAAGCAGGAGCTGGACAAGCTTAAAAGCATCGAGGAGAGTAGTTCTTGCAAGGAAAAGACTCTCATTGCCGACATCGAGAGGCTGAACGAGGAATTGAACGACATCAGGCTGTGCATGATGAAGGAGTTGAGATCTCTCAAGTGTAGCATCAACTCTGCGGAGATCTCCAAACAATCCGTGAACGAGATCTTCCTGATCCTGGTGCAGACTCTGGTCTCGAAGGAGCAGGAGATGATCAAGACAATGCGGCAGACGTATGAGGAGGAGAAACGGCAATTGGAGGACAAGATAAAGCAGAGCGCAGATTCTGAGAAGCGCGCGACAACCTGGACGAAGGAACTGGAGGGCGAGATCGAGAAGTTGCAGGCGGAGCTAACTGAACGGGAGCACAGCCAAAAAGGATACGAGAACAAAATCACTCAGTTGGACCATCTGCTTAGCGAGTGTTACCGTGAGAACGAGGTTCTCAGAGAAAACATGAAAACGCTCGAGGTAGACCTGCACAATCTGCAGACAGAGTACGAGAAGTTGTACAAGACCGACAGCAAGCAAGAGGAAGCGATCTTCGAGGCTCAGAAAAGGGAGAAAGAGGTAAAAGAAATACTCAAGAGCAAAGAGCTGGAATTTCAGTCGAAGCTCAAGGCTGAAACCGAGATGTATGAGAAGAAAATCAACGAACTCTCTCGCACCCTGGACTGTTACAAGTTAAAGAACCTGGAGATGAGCAGCGTCGTGGAGGGACTTGAGGTCAACGAGAAGAAGCTGAAGAACATCATCGAAACGAACACGGTCCAGATCAAGAAGAACGATCAGAAGATCAAGACAATAGAAGCGGAACTCGAACAGCTCACGGAGGCTTACAACGAAACGAGTCAACAGTTGGAGCAAAAGTCTCTGCACATAGAAGACATTTCGGCGATATTAAGGAGTAAATGCGACTTGCTGACCGAGTATAGGACTAAGTTTGAGGCTATCTTGCCGGAGTGCAAGATGTTGAAAGACCATGTCAGCGATCAGAAAGCAATCATAGAGCGATACAGGCAGGAAGTCGAGGAGTTGAAGACGGAGAGGGAGGAGCAACTCAAAACGATCAAGGAAAAACTCAAGGCGGAGGAGATCAAGAACGCCGGGCTGAGCAATCAGTTGAACAGCAGAAACGTCGCTATGACAGAAGAACTGAATGAGCTGAAAGAGAAGTACGAGGAACTCCAACTGGAGAATGCTAAGTTGGAACAGAAGATCATCAGCAACATCAGAGCAGAGGCGGAAATAGAGGAGTTGAAGGAGATGAACAAGAGACTGCAGAGTAGTTTGGAGGGCGCAAGCAACCGCGTGGCGGAGCTCCAAGAAGTCAGGAACCAGACTCTGACGCAGTTGATTGATATCAAGGCCATGTATGATACGCTGTTGCAGGAAAATACCAAGATCAAGGCGGCTCTATCCTCATACGAGACCAAGTACGACGCTTTAAATACGTCAACGCATGAAAGCAAATTTAACGAGCTTCTGCTCGAAAAGAATACCATTGCTCTTGAGCTAGAGTACAAGAAGCTGCAGCTGACTCAACAGGAGAAGGAGATCAACGAGTACGTCAGCCAGGTGCAAGAGCTTCGGGACAAGAACAAGGAACTGGACGAGGAGCTGGAGGAATACGCGGTAATCATCCAGGAGCGAAGCGTCGAGATCTCCGAGCTCGAAAGCAAGTTGCATTCCCGTTTTACCGAGAACAATCGAATTGTAGAGCTAGAGGAAAAGCTGCACAGCTTGAACGAGGAGAACAGAAAGCTTCGTGACCAGGTCGACGCCTTGAAGATGAGGCTGCAAATGGACATGGAGGAGATGTCAAGCGATGACGATGTCAAGACGCGACAGAACAAAAACGTGCTTCGGATGTTGAAGAGGGAGAATCTTGACTTGCAAAGCAAGCTGAACAGCTCAAAGAAGCAAATGGAAGCGAAACCAAGCAGCAGCGAAGCGAACATTTCAGTACAGAACACATCGATAATAGATCAGTCCAAAGATTCTAGCAAGAAGGTGCTTAATGACTTGGAAGACGCACAGATCCGGCTTACAAAACTTCACGATGAAAAGTGCGAAATTATGAAAGCGTTAACGAACTCGAGGCGGCAATGCGACAACCTGTCCAAGGAGAACCTCGAGATGAAGAACATACTGCAATTATACAAAAACAAACTAGATCAACCACACTCGGATGCGAGGGTGAACGAGAAACTAGGAGACTCGATTTACGATGAGAACAAGATCGCTAGCGAACTAGAGAGTCGAACATCCGAACTGAACCAAATGGAATGCGCCAACAAAATACGAGATTTGACGTCTAAAAACAAAAATCTGGATATCGAGCTTAGAAAATGTGCCTCGATCATCCACGAAAGGGACATCGAGATCTTGAAACTGAGAGAGATAGTGAAGATTTTAAGGGAAGAGCATAATAAGCTGAAAAGCGAGATCGGAGAGTTTCAAAATCGGTCCAGAAGCAACAAGAGCATCAAAAACTGTATCGAAGAGTTTGATTATCGATTGTGGAACAAGACCAGCACAGATAACGAAAGCGTGAAGAAGCAATTGCAAAATAACATCGCCGAAGAGAACGACAAATCAAAGGAGCTTAAGAAAAAGATTCATGACCTGGAGCTGCAACTGGTGTCGAAAAATGGGCAACTGGCTGCGTTGGAAATTCAAATACAATCCGAAAGTTTTCCATATCAGAGGAAGTGTAAGGAATTGAAGGAGCAATTGCTTGCCTTCCGCAATAAGGTATGGACAAGTACAGAGTCTCCTACTTCTCTAATATCAACGAATTTTTCATTTGAATAGTTTCTTACAGAACACAGAATTGAGTTTGGAAATTCAGAAGCTTCGAAAAGCTGTGAACGATGTGAACTCATGGGAATGCGATGTCTGCAGACGTTGGCGCGTAAACAGAAAAGATCAGGGTTGCCAGACAATACCGGTGAAGACAATACGTTTCTGCAGTACTAACAGTGGTGTTGTAGAGGTACGTTCAAGTTGTTAATGACTAGCATACTCTAATTTTTGTAATGCAGAACTTCGAATATTTGTTTGTACAGGATCACGTAAAAATCGAGAAAATTGAAAAAATTGAGAAAGAGAAGAGAATGTTGAAAGAGTTATGCCGCTCTCGGAACCGTCATATCAAAGAATTAGAAATGGAGATAAATAGGTTGAAAGAATTGATAAAGATGTAGGATTGAAGCTCCGTTAAAGAAAAAGATATTTTAGTCACTCAGTTTATTTAACTTGTTTAAACTATTTTAGAGTTTAGATGACGCGAGCATTTTACTTTCATGCGACAATATTTTATTGGAACATAAAATATTGATCAGCCGTGTACATATGCAACAACATGCAATTAATGCGCACTTGAATAAATCTAAGGAAATTTCATCGTTCGTTTTACGACAGCCGAACTACGAATTTTATACATTTACAAACTATGCGAATATAAGAAGCAATATACAGTAACTCTTTGCTCTGATTGGCTGTCGATTGACCACTGAGACTGGATCCACTGTGGATTAGATGCTCAGTAAAATGGTGAGGATGTGCACGCCAGCTTAGCGAGTAGAAAAACGTACAGAAGTAGGTCCCATTACTGTACATAATAAGAGAAGAAGCTTTTATCACTGTTACTATTCTTTATAGACCCAGCAAATGAAAACTTAGAATACAAACCAGTAGTAGATATATCTGAATTAATAAAACATGTAAACGTAATGCTGAACTACGGTCTTTGATCAAATGGTAAGCAATTCCTACTCCTATTTTAGCTAACGGAGCGCATTGTGGTCGGAGAATCTTGTTGCAGAAACTTACATACAATTTATTCTCGTCCTTAGAGCCGTTTCCGGGGGCAGCGAGGCTTCTCATCCAGGATGTGGCAGACGAACTGCTTTGCTTTGATTGACTGAAGATTCGCGGCTGAACAGTGCTCAATGAATGTTGCAAATGAATAGTATAAATTTCATACATAGCTCTTTTCGAAAAATGTTTATTTGATCGAAATATGACCTACTTGCTTTAATGCACATTTCTTTTCCCAACCAGTTTTTAATGTATAAATGCCACTTTTACAGAAGTTCTGGACTTTTGCATGAATGATTTTAATACTATCTTTGCAAACGAAGTGTTTGTTCTGTGAAAAGAGAGCTATGTAGGTGTTTTAAAAAATGAAAATTTATTGGAGATAGATCGGGTGTTGCGTAAAATTTCATGCTTTGATTCATTTAATTCTGAAACTATTTCTTGCGATGTAATAGAGAAATTTTAAAGAATTCTTTTTGACAAAATATAACGCTGGTAATACACAATAAAACTTTGAAAGAGATTATGGAATAAACAACAACATAACATTTGCGGGTTATGAAAATCCAACATATCATATGAAATTAATATGTAATTAAGACAATGTAGCTTCGTCGTTCTTGATCGTCTGTTTAGGTTAAGCCTTTTCATTAGTGGTGTCAAGGATTCTGTTTGGAATTTGCTCTGATTGGTGGATTGGAATAATAATCATTGGCATCAATCAATCCCACTAAAGAGAACGGACAAGCTCCGTCACAGGCCAAGGATGCATTTTTTGTGTGGCCGTTTCTAATTGGTTCTAAGAACAAAAGCTGACTGCACATTTACTGTACATACTGTAATATCTCAATGTGCTGACCATACATACAGTAATATCTCAAGTTTTGCAAGATTCTGTGGCCGCAGCGCGTTCCGTTAGCGAAAGTAGGAGTAAAAGTTGCTTTACTCTGATTGGTTGACGATTCGATGCTAAGACAAAATTCACTGCAGATTAGATGCGCAATAAAATAATAGAGATGCTTGTGAAAGCTAAGAGAAGTAGAAAAATAGTACAAAACCTGAGGTATACTGTACATAAATTAGTTTTGCATTTCTCCTAGATGACTTTAAAAAATAAATTTTTTAAAAACATAGAATTTAGTTTCAAATGGTATGAAATTCGAAGTATCAAAGTATATTAAATGAACACAGTATATTTCATAACAAATAACCAATAAATTTCTTTTTTGATCAAGGTGGAAATTTTGCTAGATATAGCCCTCTAGTGGTGACTGCTATAAATTTCGAACATGTACATAGTCAAAGTCAATTCTATACTGATTCTTATTCAAAGGATAATCCATATTGTATTACAATTTCATGGAAGTGTCGCGTTTTTCTCATTTCCATCGTGTATTTATGAGCTGAATAGGATATACCACGACGATACGAACACACGTTTTAAAGAATTTTCTTGTTTATCTTTTCAAGTGTTGATAAAGTTGCATATTTTTATCACTAATAGTTGTAAAAGTAATACCGGGGAAGTGTATGTATGAAATTTCAAAACGGACTGGTTCATGTTAGGGACAATGTCATTATTCAATAAACCGAAGAGGAATATTCGTCGTCGACATTTCAACGACGATGACGAAGATAATGAAAACAGGATGGAAGTGGAAGACGCGCAGCCAGTCAAATCTAAGGCAAAGAAGAAGGATATGCCGAAGCAGACGCTCCTTAGTTTTGGAGAGGAGCTGGAAGAAGGTGAATTTGAGAAATTGAAATATATATATATATATATATATATATATATATATATATATATATATACTCACACACATGGATGTTATATCAA